GAAACATTAACCTGTCCAAGAGTATAGGTCTTAAATTTGTACTATATGTTCCAAAACTCAAATGCAATTTTCTATCCGTCATCAAAATTTCAAAAGATTTTAACTGCCGTATAATTTTATGTGAATCCTCTTGTGTTTTTCAGAACCAGAAGTCGGGGATGATGATTGAGAGAGCTAAAAAGATAGGAGGACTTTACTATTTTGAGGAGACTGTTCCTAGTGAAAAAAAGGTTCAAGTTTACAGCAGTATGAGTTCGAACCCTGTAGTAGAAAAAATAATGGAATCGCATCTTAGACTAGGTCACTAGGTCTTAGACTAGACCATCTAAGTTTTTTCTTATTTAAAATATTTATTTTCAAATTTGTTTAAGGGTGTTTATTGTGTTTACTTCAATGTGAAACATGTTATTTGACAAAAAGTCTTCGCATAATTTTTTCTCCAAAATCATTCTTTCATTCAAAACCTTTTTACATGATCTATAGTGATGTTTGGGGACCATCAAAAGTCAAAATATTATCTGAAAAAAGAGGATTTTTGACTTTTATTGACGATCACACCAGAATATGTTGGGTTTATCTTATAAGCAAAAAATCAGAAGTTAAAAAACTTTTTAAAGATTTTTACAACATTATTGAAACTCAATTTGAAACTAAAATATGCATCCTTAGATCTGGCAATGAAACTGAATATTTTAATGAATGTTTAGGGGAGTTCTTAATAAACAAAGACATAATTCATCAATCTAATTGTCGTGACACTCCACAACAAAATGGAATTGCTGAAAGAAAGAATATATATTTAATTGAGGTTGCTCGGGCTATCATGTTTTCAATGAATGTTCCAAAATATTTATGGGGGATACTGTTTTAACAACATCATATTTAATAAACCGAATGCTAACTCGAGTTTTACAATATACAACTCCTCTAAACAAACTGAAAAATAATTTTTTAAGTCTACGAATGTCTTCCTTTAAAAATCTTTGGACGCACATGTTTCGTTCATATTCCGAATAATTGCCGATCAAAATTGGATCCAAAATCTGAAAAATGCATTTTTCTTGGATATGCCTCAAACAAAAAGGGTTAGAAATGCTTTAATCCTGTCACAAAAAAAAAAAATACATTAGTATGGATGTGACTGTCATGGAAAAAATTCTCTTCTTTCACAAAACTCAACCTGATGGAGAAGATGATTATTGACAAGTTTCTAACCGATTACCAAAAATTATTGTAACATCAAGTACACCTGAGGTCTGTGAAAACAAAGAACCAGAAATAGTTGTTGAAAATAAGGAGAACCCTAGCCAAGAGACACCTGAAAGTATCTTGTCTAATACAGGGGAAGAAATACCGCATAATATAACAGCAGAACCTCTTGTTTATTCCAGGGAGAGGCTCCATAAAAGAAAAAAAGTTCAAACTGAATCTTTAGCTCCCTCCCAATCTGAAGAACCAAATGATGGTCCTCAAGAAACACAGGTAATTTTTTATCCTGATCTTATTTTTTCACCAACAGAAGCTCAAGATTCAGAGATTATGAATCTGGATCTTCCTATAGCCTTTAGAAAAAGAATACGTTCTTGACTACCAAATATCCCATTTCGAAACACCTATCTTACAAAAAAATTTCACACAAACATCATGTTTTTTTTGTCAAAAATTTCTAATCTGTCTGAACCTAGAACAATACAGGAAGCTCTTAGTAATCCAAATTGGAGAACAACACTAAAAGAAGAGATTGCAACAGTAAAAGAAGAGATTGATGTTCTTTTGAAAAATGAGACATAGAAAATTGTCACTCTACCAAGAAACAAGTTTACTGTTGGGTGTAAATGGGTCTTCACTACTAAAGTCAAAGCTGATGGGAGTATCGAAAGATATAAAACAAAGTTAGTAGCGAAAGGATTCACTCAAACTCATGGAATTGACTATCATGAGACATTCGCTCCGGTAGCCAAGATCAATTATATTCGGGTTTTACTGTCCATAGCAGCAAACCGTAATTGGCCACTGCATCAGCTCGACGTCAAAAACGCTTTTCTAAACGGTGAATTAAAGGAAGAGGTATTCATGGATCTTCCACCAAGATTTGAGAAAAAGTTTGGAGAAAACAAAGTGTGCAGATTAAAGAAATCCTTGTATGGGCTCAAGCAATCTCCTCGCGCCTGGTTTGAGAGGTTTGGAAAGGTGATTACAACATATGAATACACTCAGAGTCAAGCTGATCATACTATGTTCTACAAACATTCAGAAACTGATAAACTCACTATACTCATTGTCTATGTAGATGATATTATCCTTACAGAAGATGATGCTAGGGAAATTGATAAATTAAAAGAAAGATTGGCCACAGAATTCGAGATTAAAAATATGAGAGATGTAAAATACTTTCTTGATATTGATTTTGCCAGATCTAAGGAGGGGATCTTTATTAATCAACGAAAGTATGTACTCGATTTACTCAGTGAAACCGGAATGCTTGGGTGCAAAACAGCTGAAACTCTGATTGAACCAAATAAAAAGGTTACAAGTGATAAATAAAATATATGGTGTCAATAAAAAACAATATCAGAGACTGGTGCGAAGACTAATCTACTTGTCACACACTCGTCCAGATATAACATTTGCTGTTAGCATGATAAGTTTATACATTGCCCAAATACTCATCACTTGGAGGCTGTCTATCGGATCCTTAGGTATCTGAAAGGAACACCCGGAAGAGGACTACTGTTCAAGAAAAATGTGCACTTACACGTAGAAGCATTTACAGATGCAGATTGTGCTGGAATTGTTACATATAGAAGATCAACCTCAGGGTACTACACTTTTCTAGGAGGGAACTTAGTAACCTGGAGGAGCAAGAAGCAAAGTGTCGTGGCAAGAAGCAAAGTGTCGTGGCAAGAAGCAAAGTGTCGTGGCAAGAAGCAAAGTGTCGTGGCAAGAAGCAAAGTGTCGTGGCAAGAAGCAGCGCTGAAGCTGAATTCAGATCTTTGGCTCATGGGATATGTGAAGTTCTTTGGATTAAAAGAATTCTGAAGGAGTTAAAAATTCATAATCCACCACCAATAAATGTGTACTGTGATAATAAGTTTGCCATCGTCATCGCCCACAATCCTGTCCTTCATGATAGAACAAAGCACGTAGAGATGACAAACACTTCATTAAAGAAAAAATTGACAGAGGAGATATCTGCATGGTGTATGTTCCCTCCAACGACTAAGCAGCGGATATTCTAACAAAGATTCTTCACAAAAAACAGTTCGACGGTTTAGTATGCAAGTTGGCTCTGAAAGATATCTTCATGCCAACTTGAGGGGGAGTGTTGAAAATTCTAATTCAAAATTCAAAATTCAAATTACAATATTTATTGTCTTTCATTTTCTACAGATATTATTCTCCTTCCTTATTTTTATCTTGCTTAATTAGTCTTGGAATGTAATAGTAATTTCTTTGAATTTATTTAGTTAGTTTCCTTATCTAAGGAGGAGAAACTCCTATATGTAAATGCACCTTGAATTGAATCATTAAGAAAAAATAAAATTTTCTCTTCAATTTCTGGTTTTAGTTTGATTTGAGGTTGAATTGACATCTTATCTTTTTTTTGTATGATTTGTGAAATTACGCTTTGGGTGTTTGCAATGGAAAATGTTTGTGATCTGGTAATCTGAATAAGCTTCTTGTGAAAGTTTGGCAGTTTACATGATGATTTAATGCAACGTTTCTTTTTGTCTGTAGTAGGGATGCGCTTATATATAAGCTGGTGTTTGTGAGGAGGAATTTTTTTGTTCATAGAAACTGGGAAGATTGGTTGGAAGAGTCAAATTTGTTTGAGAGAAAAGATGAAATCATGTTTCCTGTAACGGAAAGTGGATTCACCAGATTTAGAAACATACAGTTCTAGTACGTAAGAAATTTGTTTCTACCTGTTCAAATGCGATAAAAATAGTCATTTAACCACAGGAGGTGAAGTATGGGAATACCTATGAAGGAACAAATTACAAGTATTTGCATGGATTCCTTTTCAAGAAATCACTAGTTAGAAAAATAAGGTTTACATGAAATATATTGATTATTTTTCACATGGATCCCCAATTCAATTATCATATGTGGGCAAAAGGGTATATTAAAAAATGATCATGTGAAAGATATTTACATGTTCATACGGGGTACCTTGAGGCACCTTCAACACCTTGGGTTCGAAGGCTCGGGACTAGGGAGGGAGCTGGCTCCTTTGCCTGTTTTTTTTGGTGGCTCCCTCTCTGTAATACAGATGCCACAAATTTAATGCTTACATTTGTTCCAAATAAGCTATCATAGAATGCAACAATCCTGTGAAGTTTTGTGAAAGGTGCAATGTTGTTACTGCCTTTACTTTCTCCAGAATAGATACCGTTTTTATTCTTCGGAATTTATGGATACGCATCTATTGAGTTTGTCTCTTCTAAATTTCTCATGAAACTTTTCTATTGTCATGTTTTTTCGAGTGTTCTGAGTTTAGAAAACATTTGGGTATTGTATTTGTTCTAAAGTTTTTGCCTTAGACTTTAATATACATAGCCTGGTAATAAAACAAACATGTTTGTTATTTTTACAGCCAGTTACTACAGTTATTAGTAACAGATAAAGTCAATGGGCACTGTCCTAGATGCTCCAAAAGCGGCAAATACAAATACGGTAGATATTGCCCACTTTTTTTTCCCAAATCTTTTTCTGTTTTTTATTTTCTTATTTAGATGCATTTTCAATGAGAATCTTCATCTAATCCAACTATTTAATCACGCATGTAAGTTTAAATTAGTAATCTCTCACTATAATGACAAGACTTTTGGTACTGGATTTCCCTTTAGCATATTAGCACTTTTCTTGTGCATGTATGGTCTAGAAATTTTTTTATAGCAATTCAACAACAAGAATTAAATGGCTTCCATCTTATTCTCTTTTGGGTTGATTTTAAGATTCTTAAATACAATAGCATAGGTCAGCCATCAATTAAGAGACTTGAATCATGCATAAATTTTCTGGAATTTTCTGATTTTCTTATTGGTTTTCTCTAGTTTATTATCACGTTTTCCTTGGAATCTCACAAGTGCAACATTTATTGAATCATTAGAATCTTATGTATTTTTAATGAGTATATTCTTTCAAAGTACATAATGTTTGGGAAATATTTGCAGGGTGCGGTTGGAAGATTGAAAGAGAAGGGAGTCAAAGTTGTATTTGTGTTAGGTATGGCATCATTGCTTTAGACCATGCAACACTTATTTCAACTCTTTTAAATAGTGACTTGGTTTAGAATTTTTCGTATAGAGCTTTTCTATGCTATTGTCTTGCCTTTTTGGACTATTACTTCTTGATATAGATTTTAAAAAGCATGCTAAAATTCTTATGAAATTTCGGGATCATTTTATAGCAATAAAGTTGAAAAATGCTTTTCCGTCTTTTCTTTTATTTTTTATAAGAATAAAGAGCTTAGCCTGGCAAGTTGTCTTATTTTCATTTTTATGTCCTATTTTTTCAATCGATCTAAGGATGTGGGCTGTAAATTTGTGAGGTATATAAATTAATCAAATTTGATAGCTGTTGTATTTCATTTGATTAGGGAAGGAATTCTTTGTCATCTAATCATGTTATTTCTATTGATGAAAAAAATTAGGTAGGACTTTGAATTGAACTAGAAGAATGGCAATAATGTGAAATTGTTTTTTTTGTTGTTTTGCTTGCATTAAGCTCAAATCTAGATGAATGAGTTGATTAATAGCATGTCTTGTCTGGTTTGATTCTTACTTGAATTGAGTTGGACCTTGATCTTCTTGAGCTTTTAGGTGGGTTTGAGGCCATTTGCATTAAACATAACTATATAAATTAGTATGATTTGCAATTTCATTTAATTTCATGATTATTTGTTTATGAATCAAACATATCAAAATAAATCTCATGAAATGCTTTTAGATATTAAAATGGAGGATTAATCAATTGTATTGTTTAGTTGTGCTCACATTTCATGAGATTTCAAGATGGTTTGATAATATATCCAACATACAAAAATAAAATCTATATCAATCGCTAAGCTGCTATTGTTTAGATACTAAGTTGAATGGTTAATATTTTTTTTTTATAATTTAGGAGTAAAATTGGATAAATTTTTTTTTGGCATGTATAAAAATATGTCCATGACAATTTTAATGGATTTGGTTTCAAATTTACTATGCGGAAGTAATGTTTTTTAGCTATATTTCTTCTTCTAATCATTTTTTAAAAAAATATTAAATTAGATCATCGAGATGCTTTTAGGCTGTCAATCTTCATCTTTAATTTGAAATGTATATGTATGTATTTCTCTATATGCATACATGCATATATGCACATATAGTGAGTTGGATCATAAATTGACTGTAAAATACACAATAAAAAATCGATTAAAATTAATTTACGTTTTTTACTTGTATCCACTTTCAATCAAAATAATGGGCCCATATTTACTTGAATTAAAATTAGATCATGATGCGGTACAACAATTAGGATCTTTGGGTAATGATTGCCTTCAGTTTGTTGGCTTTGGTCGGCATTGGTTGTCAGTTCTTGATGTTTTTGCTTGTTTCATTTGTAATTGTAGTTCTGGCTACATTTTTCTTTAGGAGGCGTCATTGGCTTTTTTTTTTGGGGTATTTATGGGGTTTATCACTAGGAGTTTGATTATTTTTGAATTTGTAGTGGTTTTTCTATTTTCTTCTTAGCGTTTTTGTGGAGAATTTTAATAATTTCTATGTGGCGATTTGCATGATCGTTTTGTGTGGTGAGTTTTATTGCTACTCTTGTAGAGGTTTACATTTGTTTCTATTTATTTTCTAATGCTCTCATGTGAATGACTTCACGTGGTTGGAGTTGACAACTTTATGTAGTATTTGTCGGCCTCTCTATTTATATGTTAATGTCTAGCTGTTTTTCAAGCTTGCACGTGAGAAGTTCACAATTTTTTTTTAAAGGGAACCCAAATCTTAAATTTTGGGAGTGTAAAGTGCCAAAATAGTTCCTGACTATTTACATGGGGCAATTTTAGCTCCAAAGTCTATAAAAGTGTCAAGTTAGCCCCCATATTTTTTTATATGGGCATAAATTGTCTCCGAGAAGGATATTTCAGCTCCCATTAAAAAAGTTTAGGAACTAAATTGACACTTTCATAGACTTTGGGATTAAAATGCCGCCCTCAGAAGAAGTCAGTGGACTATTTTAACACTTTTCTCAATTTTGGGATTACTAGAACTAGATTGGGATAATTTTGTGCGGATCATATCCATTAACTTTACAGTAGGAGTTTATAATTATATGTTTTAAGATATATAATTATCAACTTTGTCTGAATGAAATTTATTCTTTAATTTCTTTCTTGTGAGCTCAGGTGATGTGTGATTTATTCATATTTTTATACAAATTGAATTGTTTAATTTTGGGGGAAGTCATCTCTTTGGACGTATATGAGACATGATTTTTTTTCTTGTTCTTAGATTTTTTTAATTCTCGTTTTATTTTATCCACATAATTTGTTACCAAAATAGATTGTGCTATCCTTGATTTTGATTAAAAAAAAGAAATGTTGAAAATCCAATTTGTGAAAATAAATTTACTTGCTCGTTAATTTTATCTAATTTCAATTTTTTGTTGAATTTATCAAAATTTTTTAATCTTTAACTAATAAATTGCTTGGGTTTTAACTCTAATATTGTTCGTTTGCTTTTGAAGAAAACAAGTGGGGAATTTATTTGGCGGGTATGGAACATGGATTTCTCAACTTTCTTTTGAATCCATTCATTATACTCCATTATACTCATCATATTTGCTCTGTCAACAAGCCCTAATTTACAATTATCTTGCATCAAATTGGAATAAGAGCTTATTACAATATCATATCACCAACGTAGGAATTTAATGGTGAATAAAAAAAATAAACATTGGAATATAAAGGATAGAATGTATTATGGCTCTAGCCAATAATAACTTAACCACACTGGGACTCCAAACTACATTCTTATTTTCTATATTCGATGAGGGGTTGTTTTTAGAAAGATTTTACGTTGTATAAATAATCTGAAAGTTTTTTTGACATTATTTTTAGTTTGATTTTGAAAAAAATTTAAATTATTGATGCTTGCCTGGTTGTTTTGTCAATGTTTTAAAGTGTCATAAAATCAACGTTAATTATCATGAACCATAAGCTTAAGGGTACCTATCATTTGGTTGATATCATATGAATTAATAATAAATTTTCTAGTTAAAAATTGATTCTAGTGTTTATGAATATTATCTGAGATTTACGTATCTTATATCTATACATGATCTGTCATTAGACTATTTTGTTATCACTGTTAACCTCATTAAAATTAACTAAAAAAATACTGTTACTTTTCCTTTTTTTTGAAGCATGTTATGAGCCTTCTATCTGGTATGTTGCACTTGTGACTTTCTCATTGAAGCTTGTTAAAAATGCACCAAAATAATAATCATACAGTGTTTATCGGATTTTACTTGAGACATTTTATTTCATGAGGTTGTGTTAAAAATAGAATTTATTTTGCAGTTACAATTTTAATTCATATTTACAATAGATCATGTTCATGAACCTAAATCTATACTTGATCAAGGGTAAGAATTAGAGTTTAAAAGTAAAGTTGAACATGAGATCATATCTTAATTTGAATTTGAAATTGAACCCATGCTTAAATGTTAAGCTAAAATATTTATATATGTAATGCAGTTAATGAACTAAATGTGCCATCGAAGAGTGCAACTTTTGATGAATTATTTATTGATTCTGAGAAGGGTGATAATAATTGCACTTGTGACTTTCTCATTGAAGCTTGTTAAAAATGCACCAAAATAATAATCATACAGTGTTTATCGGATTTTACTTGAGACATTTTATTTCATGAGGTTGTGTTAAAAATAGAATTTATTTTGCAGTTACAATTTTAATTCATATTTACAATAGATCATGTTCATGAACCTAAATCTATACTTGATCAAGGGTAAGAATTAGAGTTTAAAAGTAAAGTTGAACATGAGATCATATCTTAATTTGAATTTGAAATTGAACCCATGCTTAAATGTTAAGCTAAAATATTTATATATGTAATGCAGTTAATGAACTAAATGTGCCATCGAAGAGTGCAACTTTTGATGAATTATTTATTGATTCTGAGAAGGGTGATGATAATAATGTTGATTTTTTTATATTTATTAGCATACAAATTTGTGGATCAAATCTCATAACAAAAGCTATGAGGCATCAATACTTAGAGAAATTTAATAATAATAATTATCTTAAAATAGACCTAAAATATAAAACACCAGTATCTAATCTATCCTAAAATATATAATTCATCACAACAAATTTGCAATCAAATTGGATTAGTTTTCATTAAGGCATCTTTATTGTGCTGTTTATATTCCTTACAATTTCATTAACATTTCATTCTTTAGGATTTGGTAATAGTTCTAGCATTTCTTACTGCACATGATTTTACTATTATTTTATTACTCCATATTATTTTCATGATTTTTTTGCTTGAGGATAGGTTTAAAAATTGGCTACTAATTATGTTGATTTTTAAGTTTTTTGTTCATATGATTATGAGGAACATCAAATTTAAATTTGTTGAAGTTATAGTGTGGTTTAACACCACAAATGTTTTTATGTGGAACCTTTAATAAATAAATGCAAGAATGTAAGATTTAAAATTGCATAACACATTGGAACTAATGCTGCATAGTGAAAGTTGTAAAAAAAATTGAAATAAATTTAATTTTTAATATCATGATTTAATTCTTCTTTCTTTTGTCTTCCCTGTTTGTCCACATCCAATCTATTAAATACTTCTGTATTTGTTCCTTAGCTATTCATTATTTAGATAATGAGATTATGTTCATTATTTGTGGGTTTTAATGACTGCCTTAGTGTGACATTTATTTGTAATGATTTATGGATTATTTTGGAGGATTCATAAAATTTATATTCAAATTTATTTTATAAATATTAAAAGTTCAATTCATTTGAGTGAAACTACGTCAAGCTGGACATATTAATGCAGCTATAGCAGATGGGATCCTTAAGCCATTTCTATTGTCTTTATCCTTTTATCTTTCCGTAGTGGTTCTTGATTTTATTGGTTATGTTTTTCATTGAGCAATGTTATTAGTTTTATCAAGTTGGAGTACATTTTCAAATTCTCACCTAGAGCCTTGCTTGGTCTGATTATTGCTGAAATATTTATGGTATATTTGCTTGGTCTTGTTGTTGCTCTTGTGGGCTAAGATTTGTTTTTTGTTGCTACATGCATTGAGGGCTTCACGAATTAGCTTTGATTGCTATCTACAATAAACCCTTCGTATTTACATGTTTTATATCTAATCGTTTTCTGTTAGCTAGATAAAAGCTGCACAAGATTTTCTTATACGATTATTGTTTGAATTTTGGATATCCTAAAATCTGAACTATGGAAATTACTAGAATTAGAGTGGATTGAATTTGTGTCAGCCATATCACTAAAGTAGGATATAAGGATTCTATAAATATATGTTATGATGCATGTAATTATCTATTTTAGCTCGATTAAATTTCTTATAGTTTTCATTTTGCACGTTCAAGTTGTTTGATTCCTTCGAGTATGGTGCACTTACACTGTTTAATTCTAGGCGAAGTTGTCTTTTTGTACCAATGTCGCCTTATACTGGTTTTTTCCTTCACTATTCAATTTATTTACTTATTTAGTGCCATTGATTTATATGAAAAATTGTTAAACGAAAATATGGGAATTTATTCAATTGCTTGCAGATTTGATGTTTTTAATTCCTCATTTTTTTATTATTGTTTTGGTTATTTTATTATTATTGGCGCTTTAATTTTTTGTATTGTTGTTTCAATTCTAGGAAAACAAGTTGTCGAATTATTTTGTGCTTTGTGATTTGTGAATTTTAAACTTCTTTTGCATGCATTAATTATACAGCTATGGCTGAATTTTCAACTTTCTTTGCCTAATTCTCCTCTTCTTTATTGTTATTATTTACATTTTTTTCCTTTTCATTGTTAACAGCAGTTTTACCATTTTTCTTTTGTTCTTCTTGGAGTAATTAGTTTTCTTTGATTTCACCCCTTTTGAAAAATACAATTTGCACAACTGGATATATATCCTGTTGGCATTTGTCTGACATATTTGGTCTGCATTTTCTCTTTATGGTCATCAATTTGCATGTAATAATCAACTTTTTACTGTTTTGATATGAATCACTGCATTGATTAGCTCCAACTTGTTTCACTCCCGAATCATTACATAAAAAAGTTTGATCAGCCATAACTTCATCTTCAAATTCATGCGCAGGTGGGCCCGGCAGTGGAAAGGGGACGCAATGTGCAAACATTGTTCGTGTTTTTGGCTTCACTCATCTCAGTGCAGGGGATCTTCTACGTGCTGAAATTAAATCTGGCTCAGAAAATGGGTATATATCTACTTTGTTCTAGCTTTATCCATTTTTACAATGGGGCATTTACATACATACTAACCAATTCATATGCAGTTACTTATCTAACACTTAAACTTTACTTTTTGCATTTATAACAGCCTAATATTTCGTATAACATAAAAAACATCACTATTTTGACTTTTAAAAAATGAAACATACCTTTTCATTCACTGGTAAGGTGGTATATGCATAAAAATTGAAGTTGAGGTGTTAAATGTGTAAATACATATAAATTGAATGTTATGCATCTAAATCTTCCTTTTATTTTTGCATTATTGGCTACCTAGCAACTTTCTGCAGCGTGCAAGCATGTATGAGGATTTTTTTTCCTTTTTTTTGTTGCTTATGACTTTCACTTAACAATTACATTTTCTTTCTTGAAACAATAAAAAGATTAGATAATATATTTCATGTCTAATTTGTGGGATGATTGCATAATTTTTCATCCTGATGGCAGCACTATGATTCAGAACATGATTAAGGAGGGAAAGATTGTTCCTTCTGAAGTAACAATCAAGTTGTTAGAGAAGGCTATGCTTGAAAATGGAAATGACAAATTTCTCATAGATGGTTTTCCTCGAAATGAGGAGAATCGAGCTGCCTTCGAGGAAGTTGTAAGTCTACATTCTACTCATCACAAATTCTTTCCCCTTCGATGATTTGTTAATGTTTATTTCGTCTTGTTGCTATAGACGAAGATTGGACCAGAATTTGTGCTGTTTTTTGATTGTCCAGTGGAAGAGATGGAGAGGCGGTTATTAGGCCGAAATCAGGTCTTGTACTTATCCCTCATAAAAGAATACAGTTTTTAATTGTTAATTTGTTATTAATTGTCTTGCGAAATATAACTTGCTTCAAACTTTCAAGTGACGGTCATGCTGAAGTGGTCTTGAAATTAAAAATTAGGGGCATTTACATACATATCACTCAATTCTTACGTATTTACATATCTCATTCCTAAAGTTTTTTATTTATACATTGTCGGTCAATTTTTTCGATGGATTGATTTAGATTTTGAAAATATGAAAATATGAAAATAATTTTTGAAATTTAATTTAAGTATAAGAGATATATATAGTTTGAGTTTTAAAAGTAGTATGTTTTAGTTTTTGAAAAATGAGACCAAGTGGATCTCATTCGTCCAATAGTTTGCATAATCGTGTCTGATACCGCGAATACTACACCCTCCCGAAAGATAAGTGTAGACCTCGGCGATAGGCTCAATCCTGCAAACTAAGAGATTTGTGACATCCGTTTAGTCTGCGAACCTTTTATATATGACCGACAAGTTTCCCTATCTAATATAAAGATTAAATAGGGTTTATTTTACTTGGGTTCCAAGTTCCCTATAGAGACAAGCCCCTATAGTTAATTACATCCCAAATGACGGGAGTCATTTGAGAAAACTCTCGATAATGATCAATGGTTCTAGTCTTCAAGAATTCAAGGTTCAGGTTTTCAAGATAGGACGTAGAAGGGCAAATGGGAGTGGCTCAAACATGAACAGTTATTTCAGGAGTCCAAAGGAAAGAAAAGGTAGGGGATGTCACAGATCCTGAGGAGAACCCTCAGTGACTTCCCAAACTATCCTACTGTGTGGCTGCATTTATAGAAAAGATGTTATTTGAATGTTTAATCCTGTCAATTTTAACTTACATTTGCATAATACCCGATTATACAAATAGCCCACAGAGAAATGAGGGTTTACATCGTACCGTACGATAACCTCGGAACCTAAATGGAGTTAGGACTCATGTCGCACCACATAGTTGTACAAGAGCCTAAAAAGGGAGTATGGGGATTTACGCCACGCTAGGCGAGCTACCTCGAAGTCCTATGGGTTGTTATTATGCTAAGGAAGAGATGAT